TATTTATATATATATATATAAATATATTGCTGATTAATTTGATCATCAAGCTGTAGAATATTTGTTTATTGTAGTGCATAGCATCCACTCTATCCTCCTGTGATTAAAGCTGTGATCAAATTAAAGAAATTTATACCCATTTTTTACTCAGACGCAAGTACACAGCGCATGATTTTTTTTTTTTAATTTTTTTTTATTGTGCACAAGTAACGCAAACGTATACACAATTTAGCTGACCTAGCCTACGTATACTACGCAAAACCTTCCCGACGCACCTTAACGTTTTCACAAGATAAATAAGGCAATATTAGAACAACTACGTCTGGAATTTGCGTCCAAAGCGTTTCGTTCAAGCCAAGCTTTACATACCTTTACTGCTGGTTGAAATTCATCCGTCAGCTTTGGAGCGGAAGTATCAAATCAATAAAAGAAAACGTAAAATATTCCGTTTTACTGATACAAAAAAAAAATTATGCCCAGCTCACTGATAATCACAATATCCGATCAAGTCACGGAAGTTTTTAAGTAAAATTTGTAATTCCGATATTAATAGAGAAGGGAAGTTGCAGTCCCTGCGATCGAGACAAACTCTTTTCCGACACTGACAACGCTGACGATCGTTGGTTGGTCAAAACATCCATCACATTTCAATTCAGTATCATGATTACTGTTTCCATGGTTATTGAATATGCATGAATGGATTCGTTTATTAGTTGGAACTGTTGGTATATTAATTGTGCCCGTACATACATATTTGATTGGAGAAACAGAATATGTAGTTTTCATGTATATTCTTTTTCTAGTGTCCAAAAGAATGTCTCACGACTACGTGCTGGTGAAAAAGCAAGTTCCAATGTGTAGCAAAAAGAATACTTCATTGTGTCATATAAAGGTTTTAGGCATTAGTACAAAATTTCATCTCACTTCTCACCCCCTCTCCCTCTAAAAATTTCTACAGCCCTAATCAAATACGCTTTGATCATACTTTGATCAACCAAAATCAACCAAAACAAAAATATACGTATTTTTGTAACGTACGCTGGAACAGAACAGAATTTGTTTATTTCAAAGCACTGCCTGGCTCTCAGCTTAAAATCAAATAGATAAATAAATAAATAATCATACCTTACCGTATTGTCTAATTGTGTATGTCTGTGTGAAGATCAGACGGTGGCGTTCAAGTTAACGAACAACCGAATATAGCACAGATGATTGAAGCAAGTCACTAGCTACAATGCATTATCGGCTTAATGCATCATGGATAAAGGTATATGTATTATTTAGAGTAAAAGTAATGAGTTTGGTTATTACATAATAATTACATAGGTCTATTTACACATGTAATGTATTGCGCAAAGGGACCTTTAAAGCCAAAGCGGCGACGTAAATATATTTATGTTTTATTGCTACCTGATATAAGGCCTAGATTTGGTTCAAAGTGTCTATTAACTCAAAGAGATGTTCTCACAAGTACACGTCATCCGTGTGTATACGGCTGACAGCCACCATGTATGTCTAAATGTCAATA